GGCCACTTTTCTGGCTTCTTTATCGTGAACCTAGCGTGAACTAATCGTTGTAAGCCCTTTCTAATTTTATATCAGTTCATGTCTTAGAACCGTGTCTGCATGTAACTTTACAGTCAGTTATCCAACTGACCTCGGTGGTAAAATTTGTATGGTTTAAACCGTTTCATATAATATGTACATGCCTATTCAAATATACATGCTTAAATGACCGTTTATTCATTTTTAGTTAGAGTAGATCCCTAAATTCATTCGAATCCCCAAAACATTTACGAGACTACATAAAGTGTGAAAAGTATAATTATTATTATATATTATTTATTTGAAATTTAAGAATCCAAGAAATAAAGCAAGTCTTCCTACCTTATGATTCCTGATTCGTACAGCTCCGTGACGCATTGCCACTCTTTTCCCGCAGTTTCTTCCAACAACTTTCCTCTTTCCGCCCGGCCCTGCCACGTGATCAGACTCACAACTGTCAATGTCTGATCCACGTGGGGTGTTATCAGATCCACGATTATCACTATCGTATTCAGCACCTTCGTGCAGTACGTCAGTATCGCGCGGTTTATGATCTATTTCCTGATCACTTCCATGGGTACGGTGATCAGATCTACGATGTTTTGGATTAGATCTACGGTGTCCTTGATCGAATCCAGGACGTTCTTCAATTGAACCACGATGTTCTTGACTGGATCCATGGTGTTCTTTATTGGATCCACGACGTTCTTCATTTGATACACGATGTTCTTGATTAGACCCACGGTGTTCTTCATTGGATACAGGGCGTTCTTCATTTGATCCATAATCTTCTTCATTGGATCCACGACGAACTTGCTCAGATCCACGGTGTCCTTCAATAGATCCACTGTTTTCTTCGTTGGATACAGGGTTTTCTTCGTAGGATTCATGGTGTTCTTGATCGGATCCATGGTTGTCTTCATTAATTCCACTGTTTTCTTCGTTGGCTCCATGATATTTTTCATTAGATCCTCGTTTGCCATGATTGGACTCTCGTCTAGGGTGATCATATCGATGAAGTTCGTGTTCTGTTCTGCGTGCACCCTGATCTGCACTGTGGTGTGATCCGCGATGTTCTTGATATAGTCCTCTATCTTCTTGACCATTTCCAATATCATCGTTATTGGATCTACGCACATCGTGTTCGCAACCACGATCGTATCCTTCTGCATAGTGATCAGGCGCGTGTGCACCATAATCGTTCATACGTTGATCATGATCATATCTAAATTTATCTGATCTGTGTGCTGAGTTATCGGGTCTACGATTATCATGATATGGTCCACGATGTCCGTAATTTTGTTCGTGATGTAAATGATTGGGTCCACGATGTTCGTAATATTGTTCACGATGTAAATGATCGGGTCCACGATGCTCGAAATAATGTTCACGATGTCGGTTATCGGGTCCGCCATGTAATTGATCGGGTCCACCATGTAAGTGATCGGGTCCACCATGTAAGTGATCAGGTCCACGGTGTTCGTCATAATGTGGTCCACCATGCAAGTGATAGGGTCCACGGTGTTCGTCATAATGTGGTCCACCATGTAAGTGATCGGGTCCACGGTGTTCGTCATAATGTGGTCCACCATGTAAGTGATCGGGTCCACGGTGTTCGTCATAATGTGGTCCACCATGTAAGTGATCGGGTCCACGTGCAGTAACATTTGGTTCATGTGGACCGTAATCAGGCCTACCACCAGGTTCACGATGTTTGTTGTATCGGTCCCGATTTACATGATAGGATCCACGGTGTGAGTGGAAAGATCTAGGCGCGATGTTAGCGTCAGTCACATCATCTAATCTACGTTGTACGGGGTCAGAACCATAAGCGAACTTCTTCGTTCCATTGGCCAGTTGACCGTTCTGTACAGAATTTGAGAGAATATCAAGGGATGTGTGAACAATACCAGAGGATATGTTGCCAGCACTGGAACTGAGATTTGAACACAATAGTAGATCACCTCCTGGTCCTTCCATTATTCCACCACTTGGGAGACGTTGTATTATTACAGATCTTAAATAAGTTATATTATTTAATTTCAATTACAAATTACTGCTTATATAAACTATGAAGTTGGTTGATTATGTATAAAGAAGATAAAATATTTGTTGAGATGTACTTATGAAAGAAATGACAGCAACTCTAAGCACTGAAAATACGATATTGAAGAATGAAGACCACTGCCAACTAATTTTAGAATGCACTACAAGATCAAGAAGGCTCGCCTTCCATGCAATCTGTTAAATTGTCGTTTAAAGAAGTCAGGAATCTTTAACTTGATCTTGTATATGCTATGGAGTTATTTGTTATATCAATGCCAAACAAGGAGAGAAATAGCAAAAATCGTCAGCTCAAGAAATGACAGCAACTCTAAGCTCTGAAAATGCGATATTGAAGATAGTGACCACTGCAAACGAAGCTGATAATGCACTAGTCGTTTAAAGAAATCAGGAATCCTTAACTTGATCTTGTATTTGCTATGGAGTATTTAACAAACTTTGTTATATCAATGCCAAACAAGGAGAGAAATTGCTCAGATCTTCAACAATGAAGACAGGCATCTGTCAACCTAACTGCAACTACAGTGTCATTATTAAATTTTTTTCATTAAATTCAAAATTTAGCGTTAAACGCGTATGTACCGTTTAAACGGTATCGTTGCCAAGTTTCAGTCTCAGAATGAAATATTTAAAAATTCTCAGGAAATTTGTCAACACACCTACATTTAGTAGACAGGTTATCAAAACAATACAACACAGGAAATGGTAGTAGCAAACAAACAAAGGAACTAAAATATAGAAGGAACTAAAGCGTGCAACAGCTGGTAGGGCTGGTATTATGAACATCTACATTCTACAACTAGAGTACAAACTGCAAACACTTACTGTATTACAGATCCCGCCAGCTCAGGGGGCGATGTGTGCTGCAATGTAAAGAAATACGAAGGATCGGAGGAATGTAATCGAATTTCCCAATAATAACCGAGAACGTGTGTAGAGTCTTAAAGGTGATCTGATAATTCATAATGAGTCGAGTAAGGGTGATCTGATAATGAGTTAATGTTGACCGATCGTGTGATGTGTTGGGGCACCTCAGGCGAAACTGAAAATATGTGCCTCATGCAGCCGGGCAATCCAGCAAATAGTCTGCATGATAATGAATATGGTATTTAAAATTGAGTGTAGTGATGAGGTCACGTGTGTGTGTATTTATGACGTCACTAATGTACATTTCTTATAGTAATATTGTGACGCATTTCAGAGATTTCTGATTACTTTAGAGTCGGCATTAATGGTCTTGCAGTATGAGAACATTGAATGAAGAAGAGAAAATGTACTCTAGTAATAGTATATTGCTCCTTTGGGTATAATGAGGGGATTTCAGCGAGAAACGTACAAAATGTTGCTTTTTTCAGTGCTACACTTGTAGAAAAGTACAGGATGTTGCATCAGGGGGTAACATTTCGGTCCAAGCTTACAATTAAATAATAATAAAAAGTTTCGTCTTTTGCAAATAATTGCAAATACAACAAACAGCAACGACAAAAATGTTGCAGACAAAACTAGATAGGAATTTGGCGAAATTTTAAATTAGTGATGCTACTTATAATTACTATCATATATATCTTGTGATCGGGATTTTTTGATTATTGATAGGTCTGTCTACAGTTTATCTTAACTTACTCGTATTATTTAAGATCTTTGTAATCAAGATACAGATCTCTGACACCTCATTACTCTTCCATATTCCCGCATTATATCTGGAACAGGATTGGTATGTTGATGTTATTGCCCTGCACGCGGGCTTAATGTGGCCGAGTGTATCTAAACAATTTGAACACGGAACAATGCAAGAAGATGGAATGTTATTATTAAAACATGAATGGTTATATCACGTATGGAACGGTTCACGCATATTTCTGTCTCCACCTCTTTCTTGAGTGTAGTCTCCCGCCGATCATTATTTTACACCCAGTTTTAAATCAACTGGAGACAACAAATTTCCCACGAAAACAATCCTGAATCTAGATATAAACTCACCCGGTAGTGGAAGAATCGAGTAGCTGCAATTATCATCCTCAAAACTAGAACCACGCTCAAACGATCAAAAATTAATGTAAAATCAAAACTGCTTTCAAAAGTAGATAAGCGGATACTCAAGATTGGAGTAATATGAAGAAAGTAACTTGAATCTAAAGTTTAGTGACGATTACCTCACTCTCCGACACCCCTTGGAGATGCTCTCTTCTTTCAAAGTTCTCTTAATCTAATTCTACCATCACACTACACTGTCATTCAACCTCCATGCTAACAAGGTGATTGGTTCGTGAATTTGAGGATTGTCTGTGATTGGACAACTGTTTGATCAGTTAGTATGTGTTAGTCTGTCTAGTGAAATGTTAACCTAAAAGCGGTGAGATTGCTGTAAATTTCGGGATCTTACATCAGAATCTGAGTGATTGATTCCAATTAGGATTCAATTATATCAATTAAATGTAAGGTTCGGTGATCAGTCGGTCATTGATCCTATTCCTTTGATACAACAGAAGTATAACCACATTCCGATTAGAGTAAAGCGGTGCGTGTTAGTCAGATAAAGATAACATCGTAAACCGAGCTCTTTTTAATTGTTTTAAATCAGATCTTCCTCTTTGAACCAACTTGTTTCGCGAAACCTCCCTAGCTGCACCACCAGGAGTATTATCCGATATATATTACCAATATTTACTATTTAGGTCCTGGTTTGCACATAAAACATGCACCATGTTCGGAGTACACGCAGTTCCATCAACGTAAGTGGAGGAGGTGACGCTCTCATAGCCCCACCCTTATACTAGTATGCTTGCAACCAATCTCTTGATGATATTAAACCCGGTTTATGCTATGGATATTTAGCCCCCTAAGTGCAGTAGTAACAAGCAAGAACAACCTAAAATTACTAGAACTCAGATATATCTGAACCATGTTTGGGAACATACCTGACAGGATGGCGCCACTTTGTAATTTCTCGAGATCGAAGAGGAAAACATTTCCTCAGACTCAACCTCCTTGGGTGTAATCTGAGGAGTTTTTGAGGTTGGGCTAGGTGGTGTTCTGTTAGGAAGTTTTAAGGTTGGGTTGGGTTGTGGTCTGTTTGGAGGCATGGAAGAAGGTGCATTCACAACACCAGAGCTTTCGTCAGAACGGTGCCTGAAACGACAGATTTTATCAAGCGAGTAAAATTCAACATAAATACTTCAGTGAAAGTTTCTGACAAATTTGCAGTGATGTAATCAAACCTGGAAACCCTGATAAGTGATTAGTCTGAAAACATGCAAATTTCAAACCTAAAAACCTTATCCTACTCGAATTTCCCATAAAAATGTACAAACTACATTTATGTTCGGAAACAAGAAGAAAGTACTAACATGTCAGAATCTGGCCGTCGTGGAGCAGAAGGAGATAGGACTGAAGCGGGCGAGGTCATCTCCATATAAACATCCTCCTCAGGCGGGGGTTTGTTAGGAGGCTGAGAATGTATCCTGACTGGGGGTTGATGGATGTTCCTTGAAGGTGGTTGGGTGGCGTGTCTAGGCGGGTGTTCAGATACCACCCTACTTGGTAGATCAGGGCCCGTTTTAGTATCTAGTTGTGAAGGTGTACTGCTGATACTAGAGCTGCGGTTCTGTTTGGGACTGAGTAAGCTCTCCAGAGCTCTGGTGATGTCGTTAGGATTGACACCCTGTGACTGTGTATTAGACGGTTGAGACCGGGGACTCAGTAGTGGAGGTGGGGTCTGATTACGATTAGCTGGTGAAGGGGGTCGGTTTGTCTCCACTTTGTGAGAAAAGTGGACACTTCGCGGTTCTACTTGCTGTTGCCGTGGTTGCTGCTTATTGTGATTATTTTCGGCAGACAGGGGTCGTGGTTGCTGGTTAGTTTGAGAATTCTGATTATATTCGGCAGACAGGGGTCGTGGTTGCTGGTTATTTTGAGAATTCTGATGATATTCGGCAGACAGGGGTCGTGGTTGTTGTTTATTTTGAGAATTCTGATTATATTCAGCTGATAAGGGTCGCTGGTTATTCCTACTCTTGATAACCGCCTGCTGAAGACTCTGCAATGGTACAGGATGTTGTGGACTGTTGGTTCGTACTGGGAAAGTAGTATCTTGTCTAGTGTTGAAGGTAGGGCTGGTTATCCTGATGTTAGAGGGTCTCTGAGGATAACCATTCTCAGCTACAACCGGCCCGTGATCACTAAGATCAACACTGTTCCTCTCACTGCTAGATTCAATGCTTTGACTGTTCCGTTTTCTGAACATATCAACTCTATCATCTCTAAAAACAGGGTACTCCTGATCGATATATCTGTGATCCAATGAACGTTCACTTCGTAGACTTTGTAAACTAATCTCGCTACTCTCACTCACTTCACTCCCTCGTGATCCCTTCCTCATTCGTGTCGCATTATAACCAAAATTCTTAGCTTTAGGAGGCAAGGCTGGTCTCAGGGCACGAGATTGTCTCATTTGAGCGTCTCTGATCTGTCTAGACATGGGATCGGAGTCCTGACTTGAAAAAGAGGGACTGGGACTCAGGGAGCTGTATTGAGAAGCAGTGGAGGAGGCTGAGCGACGAGGTGGAGTACGGGAGACAGTGCGGCGAGGTGGAGTTGGAGGTCCACTACGTGGGGTCTGGTGTGGAGGAGTCTGATTAGCAGGTTGGGGTAGTCGGGAGGGGAGGAGAGATATAGCTGGTTTAGAGGAGAGGTGAGGAGGGACGTTGGGAGAGGCAGGGTGTTTGGAAAAGAGTCCAGCTTGTTCAGCTAACATACTACTCGTGTTCTGGGCTCGTTCCACTGTCAGGTGAAAGTGAGTCTCACGTGATCTCATGTCCTCTATACAACGCCTGAAAAAAAAATGAGAAATTATTTTTGTGTTGCCTTTATTGATATTACTTTAATTGTCTGTAATTCGCACTATTTGATCGTGCTAGGTACCTGTCTCCTTAAAATTATTGTTTGCCTTATGTTGCCTTATCTAGAATAGCTGATGTAGAATAAAAGGACGCATGTTTGTTTCATGGTTACCATATCAGCACCACAATATAGACAATATTTAAACGATCATTAACTCATTTCTCAACAAACTCCGTTCAGAGCTTAACGTCCCTGACTACTCGAGTGTACACTCTGTGTAAGCACACTGCACCAGGGCACCCTGGAGTAGCGCCACCAGCTGGTCTTACACTTGTAATAACGCATGTATCATCTTACCATCTAATCGAGTTTCTGTGGCCAGCAACCAATATCATAGAAAATGAGCTGGTGTGACGGCTTACCTGGATATTATACACTCTGAGATTGGATTACCTGTGACAAAAGGGGGACTGTGTGGGTAATGTGGATAGTGTGAATTTGTGGCGGGACTAGTATGAAAGGGGAGATGAGCACGTACAGTCTCAGAGAGTTGTAACTGTACGTACTAACTTACTTTATTGTATTTACTTACTTACTTTTACTTTACTGTACCAAACTTATTGATAATTAATTTTGTTTAGTTTTGTAGGAGAGTCTGGAGTACTAAGTGTAACGGAACTTATCTATTCAATAGGTGATCACATTATCAATAATCTAGTTATGTTTGTCAGGGTTAATAAGGGGTAAAACTTCAATATGATGTAGTTTAATAGCAGTCTGAATAATAACAATAACAGTGTTAAATTACACTTTATGCTCAGTCAGGTCCCAGAATAGGTTTGCTTTGTTCGCTGTGACGTGAACTGTAATACAAAGTCTCAACTTCCAACACACAATACGAAGGCGAGGATCTAACGCTATCCAGGGCTTATAGTAGCTTTGTGAAATGAAGCTTTGTGACATTTAGCTGTGTGACATTAAGCTTTGTGACATTTAGCTTTGTGACATTAAGCTCTGGCACTTTTAAAAACACTCGCCAGAAGAAACCTGATATATATTCGCCTCGGGTGTACACTAGCTTTACTCTCTGATAACAGAGAATTAAATCATCATACTTAGATCATCTCCCGTTGATAAAAGCTCAAACCATGACTCTGTGTTCTCCAGATCGGTAATCTGAGTCACCATGTTCTACTTTAAACATACCCTGGAGCAATTATCATTATACAGAGCCTGACTCTCTATAATGCAGTTCAACAAACCCTGGTTACTCGCTCAACGATTACACAAGACACTAGTAAACGTGGTTAGTATCGGTCTACACACAATCTAACTACAGCATGTAGATAAGGACCAGTAGATGGGACGTGTTCTATACTTACAGGAGGATATTCTGTAGAGCAGACAACTCGAACAGAGCTCCTTGCATCATACTAAGATAGAGAACTCTGCAAATGTAGACGATATGACCCAACAATACAGATCTACTAAGTTAGGACGTCTACTAATGGTTTCCTTAAGAGATTGTCCCCTGAACATTGAACAATGATGCAATCTATCAGTTTCTAGCAGCATTATCTAACTGTTATGCAAGTTCTATCATCAGACTTCCCACTTCCCGCCAGGGCTGGGTAAGGCTGCTTACTCCACAACTTAATGCAGCTACATTATTATTTACTCCACTATTATATGTATACTCCACTATTATTTACAAAGTAAATATTCGAACCCGCTAATATTCAAATGTTTCCTCCCTCAATGAGGTAACATTACTCTGCTCCAGGGCTAATGTGTGATCCAGTGCTTGGAGAGAGAGACACTGTTTGTACACACTAATGGGTCTACACTCTACAGTGTGTCATGAGGCACGCTCTCTACAAGCTCTCTACACACTTTCTACACGCTCTCTACACTCATGTAATGGTTATTTTACTAATGGTTAATGGTCATTTCTCATTGGTCCATTGTAATGGAAAACTTATGGATCATGGTTTCTATATATTAAATTTGCAATATATTAACTATTAGTTTATAGTAAATACGAAAACAAGCTTAGGACTTGCAGGTTATATTCATTATTAATGAAAGTTACTCTATGATGGGTAATTAGACAATCGGGGAAACCTCCCATGTCCGTTCTGTTTGGAAACATGCGCAATTCGGTAATCTGTCGATGTGCACATAACGTACGGGTAATGCACGGTTAATGCATAACGTTAAGTAACGATTGTGGGCTAACCGTGTGTTAACCGTAGCTACCTGTGTGTTAACCTTGTTTTATGTGTGCCTTAACCGTGCATTATGTGTTCACTGTTCATCGACAGATTACCGAGTTCCCCACATTTCACATAATATGTGTTGGAAACTCAATAACAAACAGATAACTGATACTATTAATAACAATGTTAATTTAACTAGGTTGGACATTGGAGAAATTTATTCCTATGAAAAAAATAAGATTACAAGCAAGTCACCTGGCACTAGGAAGGCTCATCTTGGCAGTACTGAACTCGTTGATGAAGAGAATCTTGTCCCCTGGTTGCAGGTATGGCTCTATCTCAGAGACTCGCACATACACTCCCGAGTGTACACCTGCCACACCAACTGTGTCTCCATGTCTGATAAATTATAAAATTTAAAAAAGTAAGTATTGTCAATTCTAACATAGAAAGAAGGCGGATAATTACATGAACGTTTCATCTCATAGGATCGTTTTTTTCTCCAAAAGAGCAAATACCACAAAATCAAATATTAAGTGATCAATTAAATGAAGCCAAGTTCATAACCGATTGAAGCTGTTTAAACCTATCACATAAGATTAAATGGGTTTCCGATGACACTTTAACGGCACCCGAATTCGAGCTCTGATCATTTCTGCTGCACAGCGAATACCTGGACCCTCCTGCAAACAAGATGTTAGTCAAGCATATAAATGTATGATACAATAGTAATAAACAAATTTTTGAAATAATAATATGATGATTGTTTTGTTTTAGAATAGATCAAAGTTGTAGTGCAAACCATTAAACAATTTGTAAACCTCCATAATTCAGTTTAAAGCTCACCATTGTTAGAATTCAATATCTGAGAATCACTAGTCCTAAGGTTGGTGTTTTTTCGAATGGATTTTGGCAGCGTAAAGTAAGATTTCCCCCCATCACTCATACTTTATATTTCACCCATAACAAGTCATCTCATATCCCACTACGTTAGTACATTTGGGCTGAAATAGTTATTAATTTAAGAGCCTAGAACAACTATACAATTGTGGATTGGTCACAATAATGATTAAGAAAATCTAAATCACTATAGGCTACAATGAGCATTTTAGTACAGTAAATAGCATGGTAGAAATAGAAATGCAGGAAACAACAGGCAGTAACATTAATACATGTAAACCCCGATTTAGGAAAGTATGGGAAAGGAAACAGCAACTGCAAAACAGGGTTTTCTTTGTTTACATTATGCGCAATAAATTCTGGGGGTGGGGAGGGGGTGGGGGAGGGGGAGGCCGGGGTGGGGCCAACATGCAACGTTACACAACTGCCACAAACCCTGATTTACTGCAAACCCTGATTTACCACACACCCTAATTTACTGCAAATCCCAATTTATGGATTACATCAAAAGACTAAGAAATGAAGCGCAAAATATGCCAGATAGATCTTGGCCATTTTAGAATTAAAGCATTAAGGACAATAGGAAAACATTATTCTTGGGACAAGTCAAACGACCTAAATTTGCAGCAAAAAATTCAAAATAAAAGCAAAAATTTGAAAATCATACATATTGCTTAAAGCTCTCAATCAAGATGATTTGATTGATTTTGACTTGAAATTTTCACAGATAGTATGTTCATTGTACATATACAATACAGCAATAATATAAAAGAACAAATCGGCATCATGAAGCATTACAAAAAGTTAAAAAGTGTCCTGAAAAGACCATAATATTTTTAAAATACCAAATAAATGGTTAATTAAAGTGTTCCAAGTTCTGGAGATATACCTATTACAGGTAAAATCATCAACAACAAAAAATTAGGAATTTCTTTTTCAGCTGTCAGGTCCACCATCAAAGAAAAACAAAACAAAATAAGGGCTGACACACTCTAGACACAGGACGTGACAGAGTTAGGGGTTTCAACTCTCTCGCTCTGACTATGAGGACACACTGATAGCAATAATTCTTGGCAATTCTTCCTCCAGTGACCACTTTTCAGGTCTTCTCAGCTAGACAGCTAATGCACAAGGGCTAATCTTGAGGCCACCACATTTAACCTAGGATTAGGGGACCGGGTTAGCTTTGCCACACTTTTCATCGAAATATGACTGGACTCTCTACAAACATCTAGTAGCTGTGCAGCGTTTGACTGACACCCTTACTGGTTCTTAGTAAGGGTAACCAGTGGTTCTAATCAGTTTCTAAGATATTCGGAAGATATCAACGCTCAACAACAGTTCATCTTGGACATCCTGCAGAAAAGCTTTAACACAGCCTGTTTCATTACGCGGGAAAACCCTTAGATCTACAGTTAACGGGTGATACTCGTAAAATATTTGTTTCAAGACCGTCGACGAGTCCAACTCGGCGCGCGTCTTGGTAGGTTATAAACCTACAAATCTACAGTACCTTGGTGGACAGTAGAGCTCACTAAAACATAGCAGACCTCTATAGTTCTGAGATGCAAAGCTAACCGGGACAGGAATAAACAACGATGCAATGGGAACTCTTCAGGGATGCAAATAGGACATACATTAAACTTTATTAAGCAAAATTTGGAAACACCTGCCTTGTAAATTAATATGTAGTAACTTTTCAAAACGCACGCTGAGTTGAGCTCGTCGACAGTTAAAAAAACAAATATTTTACGAGTATCACTTGTTAATATATTGTATCGTGATGAAGACCGGTGTCCATACAAAATTTTTACTAGGTTGCCGTTTAGTGTGAGCAATAGCAAACAGCACGCACACTCCTTTGCCCCGTCAACCTATATCTAATCCATTAAAGAGTGACAACCATACTACACATTGAATTAATTTTTTTTAAAAAGGGGGGACCCCCCACCCATGTAGCTGAGACACCTCACAGCAAGTAGACAGTGGCGTAACGTTGCCTGTTGGCGCCCCCTCCCCTTTTGGTGCCCCTCCCTAAAATTGAACACATTAGGTGATTTTAGAGGATACGCCGTAAAATCTCTAAAAAAGTGTGTTTTTAGAGCAAAACACGCAGTTTTGCTAGTACTTTAGTTAAGTTTTCGAAATTGTCCCACATTCAAACGACGATTTGGCACCCCCCCTAAGACGGCGCCCCCCGCACAGCAGGGTCAGCGGGGCCTTCGTTACGCCATTGCAAGTAGACCGAAGTGGCTCTTGCTTGTGAACAGTGCATCAACTACCCGCCGAAGCGGTGGGTTGGGAGTCCCCCCTGGGATCATTTGGTCCGTAAAATTGTATACAATATAAATAGTACAGTAAAAATACTATACATTGAATTAGGATTCCTTTAAATATCAAATTGATTTATTGTAAACTAACTTGTTTATTCAGTAATAAATGGAATAAAATTGAAATTTTTGTTTAACTGAAATTTTTGTTTAACTGTCAAACATATAACGGCTCACAAACTTGCTTAACGAACATCAAAATCCCGTTGACAGGCCCAGCCATTTTTGCAAAAGGTCATCAAATGTGTAATTTTAACCTGAAAATTTAATTATTTTCCACTTTTTTTGCTTTTTTCACTGGATTGAATTTAACTTAACTATTTGACTAACGGGTGATACTCCTAAAATACTTGTTCCAAACAAAAACCGTCGACGAGTCCAACGCAGCGTCTTGTTAGGCCAAGGAAACATAAATTTGTTTATTGTTAATGGACTGACCCGCCGCGCGTTATTTCGAATTTGCTTTAGCTTCGCACAGCTCGGGTCATAATATTTCGAAACAAGAAATATAAGCGGTGGCACGCTATATACTTATACTTCGAAGAAATTTAGAAAATGGAAAAGAATCATTTTTAAATTGTAAACCTAGAACATACAAAAACTTAAGCATAATCAATAATACAATTGCCTCATTCGCGTCGCTTGGATTACCTAGTGACCCCAGGCTATCGTGTTTATAAACAAATAAAATAGAAATTTGGCGGAATAACAGGCTCAGCGCCGCTCAGTAACGCTTGGATGACTTCGACGCTTCCACACGCCGCGCAACCTATCATTTTTACTTCACAACGAAATCGTTGCACTGTTAATTTGCAAAATAATGATCTGGAAGGGTTGACATCGTCAATCAATGGCGTCGCACGTTGTTGGCCCGCTGCGCGGCCATAGTGTGGCTTTTGTCATCATTGAACATGGTTTTTGGTTTTGTTTTTGAATAAATTAAAATAAAACTTAGCTTGGGAATATATTAAGTAATATTTGTAAGCTGATCCGATCAGTGCATATCATTAATTTGTAGCGATATGCACTACTGAGCCGCGCAGTGTTGAATAATAAATAATGTTTCTTGTTAGATTTTTTGCATTGTTATTCACCTAACCATGTGCGGGTGCGCGCTATTGAAAGCGCAAGGGCTCTGGATAGAAAAACATATCATTGTAATACATTCCACACCCGTTCAAAACTCATTCAAACCACATCACATATGTCTTGCTTTTATGTACTATTATTTCGTCCTTGTTATGTTACTCTGTTTCACCACCTGTATTTTGGAAAACCCACCTACAAATCCTGCTAAATTGATACAGCTTATTAAATCTCCACTCCTACTAAATATTAACAGTCTTGGTAATTTACTTTGCAATTTCTACCTTGTTATCTTTGGTATTGCAATTAGACGTACAATGAGTAGCTTATCTATTAGAGGTAAAACACTAGATACGTTGTTTGTTAAATACAATCCCAAACGAGGCTTAATCCCATATCTACAAAATATAACTGCATCACTTTACCTTTGGATACTACTCATAAACTTTCTCCTTATCTTTATTTGTAACCCTAGCATGAAAAATCCAGGACCCCCGGGAAACTGCTCAGTTTTTTATTGTAACGTTCAGGGCTTGATCCCTTTTGGTGAACTTGGAGATGCAAATCCCACTCTCCACTCTACAAAAATTCACGAACTAAACCATTTTATTTATATCAATAAACCAGATATTGTAGTTTATAATGAAACATGGTTAAAGGACAATATCCATGATAGTGAAATCATCTCGACAGCTGATTACAAAGTATTTAGACTTGACCGTTCTAGCTTTACTCATCCCCCAGACCCCCAGAATAGTCGGAAATTCAGAGTAAATGGGGGTGGTGTCCTTATTGCCATAAAACATTGTCTTGACATAGAATCTAAAATCATTCCTGTCAAATGTAGAGCCGAGATTTTGAGTATTGAGCTTTCTGACAAGTTAGGAAGAAAATCCATATTTAGCTCGTTCTACAGAGTTGGCACACTTGGCAATGATAACCATGATAGAGTCAAGCAATACCTACATAACATCCGTAGGCGTAGAAGTGTACAGAGCATTACCTTGGTTGGTGATTTGAATATGCCCCAGGTCAGATGGGATGAGGGCTCCTCCTCTGTTCCTATTGAACAAGCATTCATTGATACGTTTAATGATTTATCTTTACAGCAGCTGGTAACAGACCCTACACATTACAGGGGAAATGTTCTAGATGTAGTTTTGACGGATAAGCCAGAAATTATATCAGAATTAATTGTTGACAGTAAACATGGTATTTGTGGGTCGGATCACTATGCGATAAGATTTGACATAAGACTTAACGCTAGAAAGAAAAAGTCTACCAAACGAAAAATCTATAGCTATGGCCAATTGGACCAATTTAAATAATGCACTGAATTCTGAAAACTGGGAACATCTACTTAGTGGTAAACCAGTCGAAGAGGCCTGGTCAGTTTTCAATACTATTTTCACTTCTCATTGTAATTCACATATTCCTAAGATATCTGTCTCCGATGAATTTCAACCCCCATGGTTTGACTCAGATGTCTTTGATTTATGTAGAAAAAAGGAGCGACTACATGACGAATGGAAACAGTCTTCTAATCCAAAAAAATATTTAAAATTTTCCAAAGCTAGGAGGGATTTTAAAAATCTCGTTGATGCAAAATTGGACGCAAACTTTGAAGATGATGATAACAGAAATCTCATTAACAAAAAGTTCTGGTCTTTTGTGAAATCTAAATCAAACTCTAATCGCATTCCTGAAACAGTCAGCTACAATGGTTGCCTACGGTCCGATCCGCAAGGACAGTGTGAGTTATTCAATAAATATTTTAACGAACAGTTTACAGAGGGTAGTGATTATGATATAGATATCGACTTTTCCAGTGACTGTGATTTTCAGGTCAATTTCGACACTTGTAAAATCAAAGGTTTACTTGAAAATATTGATCCAAGTAAAGCGCAAGGGGCCGACAATATCCATGGAAGAATTTTAAAGTACTGTTCAGTGAGCCTGTCTAAGCCTCTTGCTATCCTTTTTGAAGCCTCATATAAAACTGGATGTATTCCAGCAGATTGGAAAATGGCAAACGTTGTTCCAGTTCATAAAAAAGGCTCTAAAATTGAAGTTAACAACTATAGGCCAATTTCTCTGACAAGCATTATTATGAAAGTTTACGAAAAAGTAATCCGGGATGAATTGCTCAATCGATGTGAACATCTTATTGATCAACGTCAACATGGTTTTATGAGTAGGAAATCATGTACAACTCAGCTAGTAAATTTCTGTGACAGCTTAGCCCTATCTCTCAATGACAATGTTCGCACTGACATAATATACTTTGATTTCCAAAAAGCTTTTGATTCTGTCAACCACGACATAATTCTGTTGAAGCTCAAAGAACAATATAACATTGATGCATCTCTACTGAGATTCTTCAAGTGCTACCTTGAAAACAGATACCAAAGGGTTGTCATTGGAAATAAAATGTCTGCTCCCTGTCAGGTTAGATCAGGTGTCCCCCAGGGCTCAATTTTAGGGCCTACTTTATTTATACTTTTTCTTAATGACATTACAGAGGATTTGTCACCGGAAACAAATATAACCATGTATGCTGACGATACAAAAATATGGCGTAGAATCACGTCCCAGGATGACCATTGGCTGCTCCAGCGGGATATTAACAGTCTTCAAAATTGGGCTCATCATAATAAGATGGTGTTTCACCCTTCAAAAAGTCACGTTCTTTCTATTACCCGAGCATATTCTATGAATCGTAGTGTTAATTTTGTGTACTCAATGAATGAAACGGCTATCGAATACACAGACATTGAAAAAGATCTTGGAGTACATATCAATAGTAAGTTAGATTGGTCACATCACTGTGATATGATATACTCTAAGGCTAGTCAGAGGTTAGGCCTTCTAAAAAGAACATGTTACTTCACCAAGAACACTAAAAAACGTCGGGCCTTCTATCTATCTCAGGTTAGAAGTCATTTCGAACACTGCACAATTATCTGGCGGCCTCATTCAGAAACCTCGGTGGAGAAACTTGAATCGATACAAAAAAGAGGTATCAAGTGGATCCTTAATGATATTTACTTGAGCCTTAGGGACAAAAAAAGGTATTTCATAGCGTGTAAGGAACTAAATATCCTTCCACTCTCGGTAAGGTTTGATTACAAGGATATATTATATTTTCATAATATTTTTTATGACATGTCAGTTGTGACATTTCCACCTTACTTACGACGTTTCATGGGAAGTAGGTTAAGGCGATCACATCTAGACGATCTTAGTATGATTAGTGACATTTCTCCTCAAGTTCCACAAAACCTTACGTCAAGCCAGACCAGATGTTCAGGCATATCTAAGTCTTACTTTTACAGAGCACACATTCTTTGGAATAAACTCCCTTATGAATTAAGGGAAATCTCAAGGCCATCCGTGTTTAAAATCCATTTAATTAAGTACCTCTGGACAGTTCTAAACGACCATATAACATCCTCTGACAGTTAAACAATTTACCTTAATGTAACTATATTGTCTAAATATAAATTGATAAAAAGTATAATTAATAAAATATGTTAAATAAAGTGTGTTTATAATTATGATTTATGGTACATTGTTATTTATTATATTTATATTTTAGGCTGTAACCTTATTAGTTCAATGGAATAAACCTAGCATGCCTTGGTTGCAGCATCGCTTCACTTATAGGTGCATTTAGGGCCCGATGTAATTGCTATGATCAGTTTACTGGTCAACTGGTGTTTCAGTGTCCCTTATTTTGTTTACACTCGGTCACTTGTCAAGGCATGTAAGGTCATTCGGCGATATTTTCTTTGAAATAAAATGATGTATTTGTGTAACAATTTGAAAGTTTATTGATAAAAAAAAATACCGGTGCGATGCTAAATGCTAAATGAACCACTGGGCCACGCCGAGCTGCGAAGGATTGACATCGCATCGTCAGTCAAATTAGTGATCAGATAAAAAATAAAATTGGTGATCTAATCATTGGTCGGATCCGGAAAAGGAAAAAAGTAAAACATAAAAAGTGCATGGTAAAAATAGATTTGCTCGGATTTTCTAAATTTGTATACCATTGTTTTTATTAGTGTGACTGTGTGAGCCTCTTCTGTTTTCCCAATACCAAATTTATTTTACCTTTTTGGCGAATGATCAGGGAGTTTCACCTTGTCATACGCTGTATGACCCGCCGCGCACGAGTGCGCGGCTCCCCCTGTGTCGTTGAAGGATGATGATAATCACTCTACACTCGACTGTCATGTGACTTTTTCAACCCGTTCTCTAGTATGTCATGAACGACTATTCAAAACTCAAACCCTCTAATCTGATCCCAACCTTAACTCTAACCCAATCCTTAACAAAAGCATATGCCATATGCTGAAACCCTAACCCTAAAGATTAATTAGACTAACTTCCTTATACGGTCATATCACGTGATCGAGACAGTTTTTCGCCAACATCTCGTCAGACGTCAGTTAACGGATACTCGTAAAATATTGGTTCCATATATTACCGTCGACGAGTCCAACTCGGCGCGCGTCCTGGTATGTGGTAGGTTGTAAACCTACAAGACGTCAGGGGAACATTTTAACCCCATATATGTCATGGGGGTGATTCGCAATCAGTGTCCGAAAATACATTGATCAAAGCTGGTTTCAACTGGCAGGGGCCCTTTTAGAACAATTTCGAAAATCGACTGTAGAGTGATTTAGCACGCCCGATCGTTGAAACTCTACATACAACATAATAACAGTGGGGGTCACGACGTGATACAAGTTTCACTTAGGTGCCATATTTAATGATGCACGGCTTTTGGAGCTTTAGTAAGTGTAAAAGTCGCGTAATTTGAAATTAAATTCGTTGATTTTTGTCGTATTATTCCGTCATATATTCGGTTCCTGGAATGAAATCATTTTGGAAATTTTTAAGGACCTTCTAATTGAACTTTTTTGGTGTAAAAGGTGTAAAAGACGTTGCTCTGAGCTGTAACATAATGTTGATGATCGGATATGCCCCAACTTTTTGGAAAGTTTCTTTGTAAGTCTATCTATATATCAGTATATAGGGGCGAGAAAGAACTTTGTCTATATAGACAGTTTAGATTTGAACTTAGAGCCGCAAGGCCAAGGATGATCTTCAAAATATTGAATTTTTTAAGGGTTATTTTTATATAGGGTCATTGACATTATGTGTATCATGTATACTGTTTGATTATTACATTTTATTATTTTAAAAAATATCTTTATTTCAGTAGCTAACCAATTTTTGTTAAAATTGGATTGAGGGAAGGTTATCCGATATGCATTTTTTTCAAGAATTTTGTGCTTATTGGCTCCGTCAGAGTTTTGTCGAAATTATACCAAAAAACCAGTCCCATGACTCTTACTGTTTTCTTCATTGAACCGTTAGGAAATTACACATGTACACACGTACACACCCTACCCACAGATTTATTGGGATTATTAGTATAAATGACTGGGACTGCTTGCTTTTAGAATATTAAAAATTATGTGTCTGAAAACAGAAAGCTCTACAATAACTGGATTATTTTATTACCTAGACCTAGCTGTTAAGATTTTGTAAACTCTTTGACTTAGCAAGCCAGTACTGAATACATGTTGCCGCCCACAACATGGTAGTTAATGTTGGTTATTTCATGACAGTTATTATGATTTGGAATTTTAAGACAGACGAAAATCTGTCTGAGCTTAGAGATGACCGATTTGTGACACCACACTCATCTCACAATTTTGCATATAAAGGGGCAAATCTATGGAATACGTTCCTTGAGCAGTCAAATGCATGTGGTAAAATAGGCTCACTAGGCTAAATTAAATCCTGTTTAAAGCACTCTATAATGGAGGCACAACACCAACATGATGTTATTAACTGGCAGGACTCAAACTGATGAAATACCTGCCATTTATAGAATTACACATTTTACACCTGTCAATCATAACATATATACACCATGTGAACCAGGGACAAAAGGATTTCGCGGCATGTACGAAATCGCGAAATTTCCCATTCTCCGCGACAAATTTTATGTGTAGTTTAATGTATAGCCTGTTAAATTTCGCGGTACCGCGAAATTTGGCCAAAATAATCGCGAAATCCTTTTGTCCCTGATGTGAACGGAACAGTTTCAGCCAATCACTCTACACTCGCTCCACCACATTAGCACACAAACCATTTTAAGCAGGTTACACACAGGTGTATCGTTCACATCAACTAAACGAAAAATTAAACTTTTACGGAAAAAATAAAAATTGTCATAGGCGTAGCCAGGATTTTTGGCCTTGGGGGTCACTATCTGGAGCAAAGCAAAAGATAATGCGATTTGTTACGCAAGTGAGGTGGCATAATTCAGGGTATAAAAATGAACAGCAGGCTGATTTCGAGGTTCAATCATAAAATCGAATCACTATCACCAGTAGGTCATAACTTCAAGAGGCTAGTAGTAAGCTAGGCAGTAAGCTGCAGCCAAACGTCCAAAATTTAACCAGACCAATATGCCCGAGCCCTTTGCATGGGACTTTCCCTTTTCTGACTACGCCCTAGATAATGTTAGGGAAAAGCACTCCCCACATAGTAGAGTCTGTGGAGTGTGGGGCCCATTAGTTAGGAGACTAAATTTACTAAGATTTTAATACAGTCTAGAAAAGTGCGAATGGCTACGAGAACTTATAACCCGGCTGTGCGGGTTGGAAACTGGATTGAGGATGTCCAACTTGAAGAGGTAATGAGTTTGATAATTACTTAAGCTTTGTCTATTATTGTTGTAGTTTTTGATTGTTGTTGTAGTGGTTATAGTTTTTAATGGTTATGGTTAATGTTTATTCTGATAAATTTATCTTAATATTCATATACTTCACTGATTCTCTTTGTAGGACATTATCAAAGATTTTCAAGAGAAGAAAGACGCTGGTGAACTCTTGATACAAAAGACGCACAATGTTATGAATAACCTGCTAAGACAAGTATGTAGTTACAAAGCAATATTTTTAAAAATCACCTTAAAATTGCTGACACGTTTACATTCAAAGGTGATTGAAATTTTATGATCTTGGACTATATGATACATCATCCTAACAGGAAAAGCTGTCTGCACAAACAGAAAACAAACACTTGATGTTTGGCTCAAGGATCAATTTGTGCCACATTGCTTCGGGTACAGTACTGTCCTCAAAAGTCTCTGAACTGAAATCCCGCACAAGCTCACAACTCAAAAGTCCGTGTGACATGTCTGCTTCTTTAATGACTAATCCTTGTCCAAGAAACGTCTTTCAGATATGCAGGTTACTTTCGATTATTACTAAATTGGTTTAATTTTGAGGATGGGTGTGCAGTATACCTGTTGGTAGTTGTATTAACTCAGATTTATAAGTTTTTATGTCGTTTTGGTCATTTCATTTAGTGCTTACTACACACTCTGATTATGTTAATGAATTCAATTTCAAACACGAATAAAATATCTAAAGTTGCTTTTCTTTGTATTCGGCACAGCTTAAGCCATTGACGAAGAACTACTGATTTAAAAGGTAGAATGCCTGTTATCATTTTCGAATAGTAAATACACCCGCCCTAACTCGATTTAGATCATCTAAAATTCAGTGCTGACGGAGAAATTCTTAAGAAACCACTCTGTTATGGCCAAAAGTTTGTGCTGAAGACATTGCCTGGACCTGGAGGGGAGGTATGTGCTGTCACATTTTAATCTGATTAATTCGTCTACTGTTTTTGAGTTTCATTCGATGATGCTTCAATAAAATTTACAGCGTTTGGCCACTTCAAATGTTGTGATGAAATCACAAATATTTCCTGTTAAAACTGTTATATGGTGAAAGAATACAGTTGTCATAACCAATAACCATGACAATATCCTTCAGTTGAGTTTGTGGTCGGATAGAGCCACCTTCACAAAGTGTGCTGCTAAATCCAGGTTGCCAGTGGTTCAGTTACACGACGATTCCAGTTATAACGTTGTCTGGCAATTTCATTGCAGGAACCCTCTAATTCGCATGGAGGTATATACTGTATATCTTTTTCGTTAGTTTTCACTGTTACACTAGTGCTAAAATGTTACACTAGTAATCAACTGTTACACTAGTGATCAACTGTTACATCATGTTATGGCATAGTTAGGTTATCTATTACGTTATCTTTAAACACAAATGGATGTTTCTGATACGTTACTATTTTTAGATGGAAGGAAATCCGGTTGTCGTTGGAGATACTATCATCCTGAACCACTGTAAAACTAACCAAAACTTGGCCTGTATGTCTCAATATCAGCGCAGGTAAGTTAGATTAAAATTACCGAACGGAGGGGTGGGGTGCTAATTCGCCAAATATTTTTTGTTCGGAAGATTGGAAAATAAAGTGCCTTCCCTCCCTTGGCCTTCCAATGTATGAGATGGTAGATAAGTAGATATTTCGTTACGAAGCTTATAATTTTCACAGGACTCCATACGGACAAGAGATGGAAGTATGCTGCAAAACATTCCTCGACTCTCATAAAGCTGAAACGGAAGAAAACCTCTGGACCATTGTAGTCAACAAACCTGAATAGTTAATAATGTGTAAAAAGAAAGTGTAATTTAAACGACTTTACTTATATGTTGCAGCTGGACTTCAATATCATAGTGGATGCCATGAGAGTATAGTAGATTGAATCGATATTTAACTGATACAAACCCCGACCAAATTTATAATCTTTCTGAATGGCGTGTATTATAGGGTTTTGATACAAATGACCTAATTCAATTTCATTACCAGCATGATACTTTGCATTTAATTGACAATAAAATATTACTTTTTAAATATCTGTTCCTTTTATCAAAATTCTGACGACATAAACTGTAAATAATCAAATTGATCATAATTTTGAACAACGATTTTATTGTAATGATTATTAATTAACCTGTCTTTCCCCATTTGAATCATGCGTATGTTTTGGAATTTTACCTCGCCCTCGCCCGCCTTTTCTGATTTGAAATAAAAGACACCGGTCACTGAATAACATTAACATCAAATATTGAACACATTTTCTAAAATGACACGAAGAAATGATTTATTTTACATATTTTATAAATCTCGTTTAAAATATCTGATATTTTCTAATCAGGCTCGGGTGAGTACGCTTTAATGTGACTCCTATTATCCAGTAATATCTTGTCCTTACTCGAGTCAGAAGAACAGAAAACATGAGAAATGTTAAACACAAGATCATTAATTAATTATATATTATATATATTATATATATTTATATAATAACAGTTCACGGCACTATGGCAGCATCAGATCACACTTTAAAAATGAAAATGCATAAAGAAATATCACAATTCTTAGGGATCAAAATTATAATCGTTACTTTGGAAAACTTGTCAGTTAGTCAAAAGAAACACTTCATAGCCTGCCTGCTGTTTCTCTATCTCAACCATCCACTCATTAAAATGCTTACAGACCTTTCTAAACTGCTTGCACTCCTCCACGACATCAACCTCCCCTGGTACCTTGCTCTCGTTCACGGAGATAACCTGAGCGATACTCCTACGCATGTACTCGCCTTGAGCCAGGCTAAATTTAGATTCCTTGGTTTCTTGATATAACACTTTGAGGTGATGTGCAGCTTTAGCTGTCAGTCTGTGCTCGATGGAGTAGAGGTACATTATGTAACGGATTGGCAGTGATATCGGTCTACCGGTCATTATTAGTTCTATTGAGTCAAATAGAGCCTGGATATCTGGGAAGTGTTCGTTAACCACTGTTGCAGACTTAACAAGCTGCATGAATGCAGGCAGGTGGTTTGCTTGGATCATGTATTTGATCCCTTTTGATTGTTCGTCATGTTGTAAGAGAAAGTTCCCATACTTGTGAAGAGTCATGTTGCACCAAGGGTCGAGTCTTAGGGCCATTTCGAAGAGTTCTTTTGCCTTTGTTTCGTTTTTCAGCTTCAAGTAGATGCAAGCCAATCTGCAGTGATTCTGTGAATGATAGGCATCTCTTGAATCCCAAGCTTTTTCCAAAATCTCTCCAAATTCTCGCTTCAATTTGAAAAATAGGACACTATTCGTACCTGCATTTTCAAAGGAACTCAGTATAACGGGAAGGGCTAGAATCCTGTCTGATGCAGTGAGAAGCAGTTTCATCTCAAGCTCTGTCACATTCCGATCATTCCTCGTTCTCCTCTCTCTGGCTAAAGTTTTACCGTGGTAGAAAGCAAAGAAGGGTTTGTACTCAGGCTGGTCTGCAATAGAGTTGAAGAGTTGCAGAGCTGGGTTGTAGTTGTAGAGGACCATGTTGAACCAGCCCTGAATAGCAGTGGTTCGTGGTACAAGTGTTAGGATTTACTGGAACGGAGTCTTGTGGTTCTCCTCGCAACCAGCTTATAACATAAGCCGTGCAGTTCACCATGAAGTGAAGCTCTGTTCTAACTTTGTTCAGATCCGCTGGAGACATGTTCTTCTCTGTTATTTTATCAATTCTGGTATGACATTCCTGGAATTCCGCCTCTAAACCTTCTAGTTCTTTCTCGAGTAAGGTCTTCAAAAAATATTGGATCAACATGTCCAGAAGAAACACCGCTACCTTTTCCAAGTCAAATGTGTTGATTTCGTTTGTCTTTTTTTCTATTGTTTTTTGTAAATCTCTTGTTGTCATCTCATCTCTGAAATGTGGTGGAAGTTTCCAAACAAAAGGGGTCTCAAGTCCTAACTTAAGTTCACGAAGTTCATTCAACTTTTCTTTCAAACCGACTAGGTTGGAGATAGACATTCTTTAAAGCCAATTTGTTTAAATCACTCAAGCTGATAGAAAATACATACATACTACTCGAGAAGTGAAAAATATTCGTTTGACTGTCACAACTGCCGCGTGTATCAGGCCCAGGTGGGAACAATTCATTCGTCCAGAATATTCTCGTGACATAATATGCTTTGTCAGCAATACACTGTCAATGGCTATTTTTATATTATGCGGAGCTATGCTATTATTATAACTTCTAAGCTAAATTTTGCTCTAAAAATAATCGTTAATCCAATCAATCATCATTCATCATCCTCTACTATTTTAGATTGTCCGTCCACAGTCGATAAGGTTCTCATGTGAATATGCAACCTACTAGTTAATCTGTCCATTCTGGCTGTACTTGGATTAACCCTATTCTCGTTTCTCCTTACAATCAGGTAGATCTTACTCCAAACACAATCGCGAAACCCGTCAATTCTGAAGTAAAGTGCGAGGGGATTCAGGGCACTGTTCAGACAAACGAATAGCATGTTGGTGATAGCGATAACATACTGATTAGCAAACCGCGAACTTTGCCCAAAGGGTTCGCTGAAGAAATATCTGATCATATCTCCAGTCTTCAGATCGTCTGTATTTGGAGGGTTAAGCAAGAGCTTGGACACCAAAGTCGACATAACCACCATGATTGGGGTATTAAAAGTTAGGTAAAGTAGTGTGACTAATATGACTGTCTTGGCTGCCTTAACGTGGCGTTTTGCTGAACTGTTGATGACGGTGGAGGCTTTGGCTGACCGGTGGAGTAGGTAAAGTGAGGCAATGAAGGATGCACAGGTCAAAAAGAAACACATTGAGGTGATGAAATTAAATGCACTTAGAGTTCCAATGATGGTTGTTAGCATTTTGGTCGTTACCGGCTGAGTTAGATTGTCTTTAAAGGCTATAAAAGAGCAAACTAGATATTCTGGAACGTAGGTTGTAAACATGAACTGCATAGAGAATGACACTGTGAACATGCACACTTTGGACAACACGAAGATGGCTGGAACCAAGAAGGCAACGCTTGGACGGAGCTCAATAGTTTTGTTCTCAGGATGGCAAGCCTGGACACGCTTAGTGTTGCCACTAGAAGTACTGACTTTTGACACAATATCCACCAGTACACCATCCACACGCTGCAAAATCCCGGGTTCGTCAGCAAATAGCCCTTCCTACTCTCCGAAAAGAGCGCCTCAATTGATGGAAATGCAGAGAAGCAAATCAAGATGTCGGTAAAGTTGATAACCATGTAGAGTCGTCTGAAGAACTCTCCATTTTTGTTCTTTCGAACGAGACTTCTAAAGTAGCAGAGGGCAGCAGTGTTGAAAATGGCCCCAAGCAGAGATGTTAGTAGAAGAATTGTACCCAACAAGAAGTCGATATTTACATCTGTTTCGGTTCGTGTCAAGTTCAACATTCGCTGCGAGAATGATTTTAACTGATTGATAAAACCTTGCAATAGGCCAAAAGCGATTAATTAAATGTTTGCTAGTCATAATTATTATCAAAAAGCTGAATCAAACATTGGATCCATTACAAATTTTGTGGGTCAAGAAATATCCCTGAAAACCATCATAAACCATCAAACCTCTTTTTGGGACCCCTAAAATGCAGAAATTGGCCAAAAATTTGACAAACTAAAACTAACTTGCTTTAACCGATGTTTTATTGGTCCAGAATAACTACTTAACATTATGATTATAGCAATCAAAATTCGCCGAAATCTTGCGTAATTATGCAATTTAAATGTCAAATGATTATATCTTCACGCATGAATTTTGACAACGTTCTTGTTAGGCACTAATAATGTCCTTATTGCACTGCATAACCTAATAACATTGCGCCGAGTTGTCAGACCCAATTTCATTAAATTTAGAAATATTCTCACTGACTTTGAATTTAAAACTTCAACTAAAATTCTACTTTAAGTTGGTCTGTGGGGAACCTCCCAGCTCAATTCCTTGTTTTACCAGCTGAACAGCAAGGATAGCCACTACGTTCTACACGTTCTACACGTTCTACTTGTTCTACAAGTTGCATTGAGGACCGAGGTGTCAGAGTTCACTACTATATTCCCATTACATTTAAAAATCAAGTCACGAACAGAAGCTTTGTTTGAAAAATCAATTTGTAGAGATAAAGTATAAATTCATTTTGAATTGTAGTTGACGAAGTGAGAGTCTCCACTCAGTGTGTTAAAACATAATTCTTTGTCGACGTTAAACTAATTACAACACTACAAATCTATTACATTTATTGAGCTATGTAAGTTATCAATACGTCCTGTCTATGACAAAGGCATGTAGCCGAAACGTCGACAAAGAATTATGTTTTAACACTCTGAGTGGAGACTCTCACTTCGTCAACTACAATTCAAAATAAATGATTGACCCACTCATAAGAGCGAAAAAAGATTACCAGCAAAGTATAAATTCATTGGAAACGATACTGAAAAATTTGAGCTGCTGAATTAATGATCAAAATTCTGGAAGGAATCTTAAATATCTAGAATCAGACAAACCATGAAACTACATAATAGAGTTAAGGCGAAATGGTCTTAAATAGTTCAGACGTACTCACGTAAGTGCATAGTTTGTTAGTTTGTTAGATAATTTGATTAGTTTCGAACCGGCTCAAACTCGAGTAGTTTCGTTCAAGATTAGAAGTAAGCTCGCTAGCACTGCAATGCTCTAGTTAACCAATATAATACAGTTTAACAGTTTAAAGTAATACTAATAAGCGAACTAGTGATTTAAAGAGTTGCTGGATGTATATACAGTAAAGAGGCGAGTTTTTATGGTTCTACAACTTAAGATGTAGCATTGGTGGTTTATATTAACATTACGGGCCCAACTTTCACCTTCCCACAATAAATTTTCCTATAAATAATTTAGTGTATTAAAATCATAGAAATATCTAACCTACGTTGAACAGTGTATAAAATAAATTCTAAAATCAAGTAATATCAGACGAGTATAAAATCGTTATTAATATCTGTCAGAAAATGCACTTATTACGGGAGGTTAAGTTTTCAGATAAATTTATGGCTAAGTTCTAAATTTCGTACTGATACCAACTGAATTTTCAATTATTGCTAGACCATTCCTAATTCTGTGGTTTAAAGGGTTAAATAGATAATACGTCAAGTGGTTGCTGG